TTGGAAATGTTCAAAATTTCCAGCAGTTATCTATGGTGAGTGCACACGCATGTCATTTTCTTTGGACCTTTTGTTTACACAGCTGATCCACCGATAGCGTGCTCTGGCGGACACTGAATTTTACTCGGATTTTCCAAATTCTCTTTACACACCCACAAATCAAGTGAAATCGGGTCTGGTATCAGTAATATGAAACGGTTCTGTGCAAATTTCAAGGCATAAATGTTGTTTGCTCATCCTGTGTTTGGTAATATCAGCATATTGAATTTTCTGACTCGGAAACAAGCAGAGTAGGTTATATTGAGGCGTGTGTGTGTGTGTGTGTGTGTGTGTGTGTGTGTGTGTGTGTATGTGTGTGCGTGTGTGTGTGTGTGTGTGTGTGTGTGTGTGTGTGTGTGTGTGTGTGTGTGTGTGTGTGTGTGTGTGTATGTATATGTCGTGCCGAATAAGTAAAATCTGCGATTTTGGCTTAAATGGCAATGCACTTCTTGCCGAATAGGGCAAGCGAAAATTTGTGTATGCAATAATTTCGCAAAAATCATTCTGAATCTAACGAAAAAAATATATTTCATTGTGTTTGTTGGATTAGGCTTAATTAAATTGAGCTTCTTATAATAAGGATAGGTAAGTTTCCTAAGGATCTTTTGGTACAAAATCATTAATTTTGACATTAATATAAATGAAAAAATATATCATTAAATTTAAAGAGAAAATTTTAGAAATGACTTTTAAAAGAGTTCTTGCTAACGGACCAGTTTTACCTTTTTGGCATGACACACACACACACACACACACACACACACACACACACACATATACAAATACACACACACACACATACCAACCACACACACACACACACACACACAACACACACACACACACACCTCTTCTGCCCTCTGACTAATACTTTTATTAACTCCACACCTTCTCCTAATTTCCACACTCCGAATTTTCTGCGTAATATTTACACCACACATTGCCCTTAAACAGGACATCTCCACTGCCTCCAACCGTCTCCTCGCTGCTGCATTTACCACCCAAGCTTCACACCCATATAAGAGTGTTGGTACTACTATACTTTCATACATTCCCTTCTTCGCCTCCATAGATAACGTTTTTTGACTCCACATATACCTCAACGCACCACTCACCTTTTTTCCCTCATCAATTCTATGATTAACCTCATCCTTCATAAATCCATCCGCCGACACGTCAACTCCCAAGTATCTGAAAACATTCACTTCTTCCATACTCCTCCTCCCCAATTTGATATCCAATTTTTCTTTATCTAAATCATTTGATACCCTCACCACCTTACTCTTTTTTATGTTCACTTTCAACTTTCTACCTTTACACACGTTCCCAAACTCATCTACTAACCTTTGCAATTTTTCTTTAGAATCTCCCATAAGCACAGTATCATCAGCAAAAAGTAACTGTGTCAATTCCCATTTTGAATTTAATTCCCCAAAATTTAATCCCACCCCTCTCACGAACACCTTAGCATTTACTTCCTTTACAACCCCATCTATAAATATATAAAAACCATGGTGACATTCCACATCCCTGTCTAAGACCTACTTTTACCGGGAAGTAGTCTCCCTCTCTTCTACACACCCTAACCTGAGCCTCACTATCCTCATAAAAACTCTTTACAGAATTTAATAACTTACCACCTATTCCATATACTTGCAACATCTGCCACATTGCTCCTCTATCCACTCTATCATATGCCTTTTCTAAATCCATAAATGCAATAAAAACTTCCCTACCTTTTTCTAAATACTGTTCACATATATGCTTCAATGTAAACACTTGATCTACACATCCCCTACCCACTCTGAAACCTCCTTGCTCATCCGCAATCCTACATTCTGTCTTACCTCTAATTTTTTCAATTATAACCCTACCGTACACTTTTCCTGGTATACTCAGTAAACTTATTCCTCTATAATTTTTACAGTCTCTTTTGTCCCCTTTCCCTTTATATAATGGGACTATACATGCTCTCCGCCAATCCCTAGGTACCTTCCCCTCTTTCATACATTTATTAAACAAAAGTACCAACCACTCCAACACTATATCCCCCCTGCTTTTAACATTTCTGTCATGATCCCATCAGTTCCAGCTGCTTTACCCCCTTTCATTCTACGTAATGCCTCACGTACCTTCCCCACACTTTCATTCTGCTCTTCTTCACCCCTAAAAGATGGTATACCTCCCTGACCAGTGCATGAAATTACTGCCTCTCTTTCTTCCTTAACATTTAAAAGTTCCTCAAAATATTCTCGCCATCTACCTAATACCTCCATCTCCCCATCTACTAACTCCCCTACTCTGTTTTTAACTGACAAATCCATACTTTCCCTAGGCTTTCTTAACTTGTTTAACTCACTCCAAAATTTTTTCTTATTTTCATAAAAATTTCTTGACAGTGCCTCTCCCACTCTACCATCTGCTCTCCTTATGCACTCTCTCACCATATATATATATATATATATATATATATATATATATATATATATATATATATATATATATATATATATATATATATATATATATATATATATATATATATATATATATATATATATATATATATATATATATATAATATATATATATATGCAATAAGATCACAGTAAACAGGTGATTTCAAAATATGCAAAACAACCAAACTTTACTGTTGAGTTTGAAGAAAATAACTCATTGCCTTTTCTAGATGTTTTAATTATTAAGGGTAATAATGAATTCAAATTTAAAATTTACAGAAAACCTACAAATAACTGTTCCTATGTCCACTATTATTCCTCGCATCAAGATAGAGTCAAACTGTCTGTTTTCTCATCAATGTTTTTGAGAGCTTTACGAATTTGTAGTCCTGAGCTCATAGATGAGGAAATATCCAAAATTTATGAAATAGGTAATGATTTAAAATACCCAAGAAATGTAATTGATAAATCTTTTAAAGTTGCTAGAAACACTTTTTATAATCCAAAAAGGGACAACCAGCCTTATTCAAGTAAAAATATGTTGGTTCTCCCTTACCATGAAAACTTGGTTGATATGCCTTCTCTTCTTAAGACTTTTAATATTAAAGTTGTATTCAAAAATCTTGATACAGTAAAAAAACTTTTGATAAAGAATTCCCCCAAAATGCTGATGGATGTGTCTATAAGATTCCTTGTAAAATTTGCGATAAAGTTTATTACGGTCAAACTGGTAAAAATCTCGAACTAAGATTAAAACAACATAAATATAGCATTAGAACTGGACAAGATTCCAATGCTCTATTTATTCATGTAAGAGATTTTAACCATCCAATTGATTTTCAAAAAGTTGAGAAAGTAGTATCAAGCAAGTCCATGGTCGACAGGAATATAATTGAATCTTGTTTCATAAAAAGCAGTTTTGACAATAATATGAATATTTCCTTTGGTTTATATAAATTAGATCCATTTATAATTAATAGAATTTGGGAAGAATTTAATAATGCACTGGACAAATAATAATTTTTAAATTTTCTTGGGTAGAATAGTTTGTGGGTGAGTTGTGCAAAGGACCTATCCAAGTTGGGTCGCCGCGCGTCACGTGTTTAACCGTTGTGGGATCTGATAGTGAGGTGCTGGCCAGACCCCTTATATAGCTTCCTTTGATGCTTTACTTTCATAGTTCCTTGATAATGTGAGTAGTCACGAAACGCTTGGAATTTCTCTATTCTTTCAGAGTGGTTGTTTTGCATATATTATATATATATATATTATATATATATATATATATATATATATATATTATATATATATATATTATATATATATATATATATATATATATATATATATAAAAGGAAACGTTTCGCTACTTTTGTCGAGAAACTTACTTTAATGACCTAAAATGTAAATAAATCATCCTTTTCCACACAGGAAACATACCTGTCTCGCTAACAGCTTCGAGGTTCCACCAGAGTGACCCTTGCGAGGTCAACACTTTTGATAAATCAATATAAAATCCATTAGATGATTGCAACCATCACTGTGCAACAAAGTGTGATTCCTATAAAAATAATGCAAACTATAAGATTAAAAATATGTTTGTCCTCATTTCTTCAATATAACAGAGTAGCAATGTGTTCATATTTGCAAAAGAGCTCACTATGACGCCTCGTTATTCACAAAAAGAATACATTTACATAATACATCAAATACTGGAGGCAAAGTCTCGTTTCAGACCACTTTTCCCAAGGCTCAGTTGGGAGAATTTTCCGTCAAGAATTCATCCTTCAAGTAGAGCTCCTTCCTCGCTAGTGAAGTACTCCTGAACCATGGAATGTGAGTTATCGGAACTATTTTTCTTTCACAAGGGTGCCCTGATGCTAGTTCCTCCAATTCCTTGGATCCGAATCCAAGGAATTGGAGGAACTTTCAGATCAAACCTGATTACCTTTCGTTTCCCAGCTCTTTGACACTTATTGCTTTGGAACTTCCAAACTGTTAATATTATTATATTATTATTATATAATTACTTAATATTATTATATTTTCACAGAACATTCGAGGTAAGTGTGCATTATTGGAGAGAGAAATATTAACAATTATTAAGAGGTTTTAATGTTTAAACACCTGTTAGTAATCCCCTAAGCTTAAGTATTAGTTAATATTATTATTATCCATGTTGAAACACTTAAGGTGGTGAATAAGAGGTGATCAGGTTTGATCCACTGGTCTTTGGAGTACTGGTTTCCAGACTACTGGCTCGTAGTCAGCTAGTTTCTGAATAACTGATTTGTGTCAGCTACTTGTACATGGTTCCTTAGACCATGTACCCAAGTTCCTTAGATCATTAGTACCATATACTAGTAAGGGCAATCATCCCTAGTTCCTGGATATTTACTTAGATCACTGGTGCCTGGATCGATAGCCCCAGAACTACTAATACATAATCACTGGTCCCTGGATCGATAACCCCGGAACTAATACATAATCTCTGGCGCTTAGATTGATAACACCAGAACCACTGGTACATAGATCACTGGCCCGGACTCTTCAGTCGCACGACCACTCACCGACTGGTCCTTGAGACCGGCGATGCGACAGTGGAGGTAGGCGGTTGAGCCCAGCTGGACGGAGACGTTGAGGTTTAAACGCTCGTGGAGAAAGTAAGGACCTTCCTGATGCTTCACACCGCCACCATCTGCATCGTCGTCGCCCACCTCCGCCGTCCCTTCCTCCTCCACACATACTGTGGAACACGAAATAATAATGATAATCGTGGAAAAGGCAGCGATTCCACAAGTGCTTGAAAATAAACAGATAAAGGGTAATGAATAAACATAATACTGTGGCTGTAGAAGACAATGAGATTTCATCTCATGTAGGTATATATTGTTCAGAGACAGTATATACACTGTGAAAAGTCTCGGCTAGTTTACATGAAGGTTTTCCTAAAAATAATCAGCTAAAATACCCAGGTGGAGGTGGATGCTCTTCTAGTTCCCTTATCTGGCTTTTTGTTTTGTTTTTATTCCGGGAATTTTATCCCTGGACTTCAGTGACAAGTGTTGCTCCTCTCACCACTGGGCACCGGCTGTGGCTGGCACTCTTCACCAAAAACCCCCCTCAAGTGAGGTTCCCTGACGCTGGTGAGGGGCTCTTGATCTATTGAATTGGATCTGTGCTCCAGTTCCCTGAATTGAGCCTAAATGCCTAAAGAGCCTAAACCTTTCAGGGTCATATACAGCGCCAGGGAAATACGAGGCAATAAAGATTGATGAGGGAAGGAGAAGGGTGAGTGAAATTCCTTGACAGGTATGAAGGCAATTTCCTTGACAAGAACCTGGCGGTGAGTGGGGTCTTGGGACCAAGTAGTCTGGAAATCAGTGGTTCATGAGGGTTCATGAGGGTTCAGGGAGGGTATTTAAAAGAAGCTGAGAGTGAATAAATGAACATGCTAAAGGGAACTGAATAAGAAATCAAGGCATCGAAATACTTAATGTCAGCATGGAAGGATTATGTATGGAGGAAGTGAATGTATTTAGATATTGGTAGTAAAAGTGACCAGAAAATGAATCTATGAACGAAAAGTCATAAAATGGTAAAAAGACAGTCGAAAGAAATAAGCCTTGTATGAGCTATTCGAATAATAATAATATGGAGTGGAGGGGGTTAAGACTTTTGTATGGGTATGAGGCAGTACATATGTCATATTTGAGATGAATGCGAAGTGTTAAAATCGGAAAGAGAATGATGAAATAAGGAAACTATGTGGTAGAATGCAAAGAATCCTTCAGAGGGTGAAGAATAGGTTGCAGATGATTATTTAATAAGGACAAAGCACGAAAGGTTGACTACTAATGTGTTTAAACCGGTGCTGGATGGACGGCGATGAACTGACAAAATCTGTGAGTGACAGGAGTTTGTGTATCCAATATTGATGTGTGAGGGAGTTCGAAAGGAAAGAAGACACTTGGGGGTTTCAATGTGTGCAACCTAACAACTCTGCGGGGGATTCCGTAAAGTCAGTCTGTTGTAATATAGTTTTGGAGACTGAAGGATTCTTCGTGTCGGTGGGTGGATGGGAGTGTGGTGTCAATGCTTTTCTGGAAAAAGAACTTTGGGAAAGAGTGAGAGCGAATATCTTTCACTTTATTCACCAGGAGGTGTTTGAAAACAGTCTAGGTATTAAACGTTTTTTTCAATTACCCATATAATTTTTTTAATTCATGCGTTTTAATAAGTAAATCATTCATTTTGTCAGTACTCCATGAGTTTCTTCCAATAACTCACATTTTTTTCAATAATACGCCTTTTTTTTAAATCCATGATTCATTAAATGACACCCGGACAAACGTGACACACACACACACACACACACACACACACACACACATACACAAACACACACACACTCACACACACTCTCTCTCTCTCTCTCTCTCTCTCTCTCTCACCCAATCAAATCTGCCACAGAGATAATAGACGAAAACAATGCGCCAGACAGATAGCAAATATCACGATTGGTACTGCTACTGACACATACAACATTACACACATTCATTCTCAGACTATTCTAATCCGTAAATCGAATGTTAACTGATTGGTTGCCTCTTAGTTTCGCATTCTCTCTCCTCTCTCTCTCTCTCTCTCTCACACACACAAGAGGTGAGTACGTACAACACACACACACACACACACACACACACACACACACACACAGATGCTCTCTATTTCCCCACTTTCCTCTTTTCATCTACTCTCACAGCTAATATCGCCAGGACAGGAGAGACAGCTAGATGCTCGGGGGATCTCCTTTAAAGGGCTCTTAAAACTCTTGAACTCACCGGGGGCTGAAGAAACTTTTCTATCGTAGGACATGACTTGACAATTTGCTGTTCTGGAAGAGACAGCTCATGAAGCTCCAGAGTGATGTATATGAAGCTGGGGAAAGATGAAGGAAAGGCTGGAAGGTTTGATGGAGCTCTCGTGAAGGATAGAATGTATGATTGGAAGGACATATGACGTTTGGAATATAGAGAAAATTGGATGGAAGGACTGATGATTCTCGGGATATTTAGGAAACTGGATGGAATGGTAGATGGAGCTCGGGATACATAGAATACCTGCTGGATGGATGGGTTGAGCGAGTTCTAACGACGGAAGTAAAGGTAAATGGAAGGGTAGATGGCTCTAGGGATAGCTAATGCTTCAGGAGGTAAATAATATAGAAGGGAAGATTAAATGAAGTTGTAGATGTATAGAGAATACGACGAGAGAGATAAGAATGGACATGAGCTTAGGAGGAAATATCTGATACTGCTCGAGATGGGTAGATGGTTATATAGAAGAGTTGTGGGGAAGGAGGAAGGAAAAATAATTATAATAAATTGACCCCATCCTTGCAAGACTAACCTTGGGTTCATAGACAGCGTGGCTTTAAGAGCTACGAGAATAAGGTGTACCAAGAAAGCTGCGGTGGTGGGGGAAGGACAGGAGGTTCTCGGACTCGGTAGCTGGTACAGGATGTGTCAGATGTAAATGTTGTATGCCTCTCCTTTTGTAACCATCGTGGCTAGATGATACAGCACAAGTCAACACATCGAACCTCGGTTCGATTTCGATTCCTCATCCAGTGAGAGGTGATACAGCACAAGTCAACACATCGAACCTCGGTTCGATTTCGATTCCTCATCCAGTGGGAGGTGAAATAGAAAGGAATGGTAAAGGAGAATGAAAAAGAAAGGTTGGAAACTCAAAGTGAAAGATGAGGGGCTAGGCTGACGAGTTCATTTAACGCTTCTTAGGCTGGCGGGGAGATAATTTACCGATAGGAAGGTGTGAAGATCATTTAGAAATAGGAAAACGGGCAGATAATTTAGAGACTAAAGCAAACTAATTTTGCGAGTTATATTCAGACGTAAAGGTTATTTACTTGGACATAGAAATATAAAAGGAATTATTCTTGCAATTTCATGGCTAGAAATTCATTACTCAGGCGATATATTAACTCAATGACATCATATGATAAATATTTTCTCTTTAAAAGGGTACCATTCAGGAGGAGGAGGATTTTGATGCCGATAAAGAGCCCTCCAATTGAGAAATTGAAGTTCCTCTTCCTCGCATCTAACCAGATTCTCTCACATTTTCCACCCGATGACTTAGAGTTTCCGTAATAAATATAACTGTTTTCAGTAAATAGTCTATGATACATACTTAAGGCGCAAAATATGATTCTTGGTGCAGGTGATATACATTTTACGTCCTGATGGGCTGGTCACACAATTTTTCACCTCTCCACTGCTACTGCTGTCACCAGTTTCAGTTACCTCTGTATTCGACTGAAGAAACCTACAGTGCAGCCGAAACGTTTCGGAAATAAAAAGGCCACAATGTTGCCCCTGTGCATTATACATCAACATGTCGGAATGATAGAAATCATAATCATGGCACCTGCAACTGTCTTTAAACATTGCCTGACTTCTACAAGCTGCAGTTCCTGATTTCTGATATCAGCAAATTAAAAAACTCATTCCCTGATGTCAAAATAGCAACACGATATATTAATTAACTTAAAACTGCCGCGAATGTTTCCAAGCAAAACTTTTCCACAAGCTGTACAAACTTATGCACTCGACAGCGCCTCACATAAATTGAGTTTGAGAAATCTGGGAGAAAAGGTCAAGAAAGATTCATGGGAAGTCGTTTGTTTATGTACTGGAGAGAGAGAGAGAGAGAGAGAGAGAGAGAGAGAGAGAGAGAATGAGAGAGAGAGAGAGAGAGAGAGAGAGAGAGAGAGAGAGAGAGGAGAGAGGAGAGGAGGGAGGGAGAGGAGAGGAGAGAGAGAGGAGGGTGGGAGGGAAGGAGGGTGGGAGGGAGGGAGGGAGGGAAGGAACACGAGATAGAACGCAATTAGATTCTGACTTGGAGGAAAGTCGATACGAAAGTTAAAGAAATTGGAATATGGAAGAGATGAGAGACTCCCTGTTGAAGTGAGAGCCAGAAAGGGTATTCAGGCATTGAGGTGAGTTAGCAAGATAGTATTGTCTGCTAAAGCATGAGCACAGAGTGAGGGATTCAGTTAAAAATGCAAACCGTGAGAAGTAAACAGAGAGAGAGATAAATTAAAGAAATCTCGGAAGTGAATAATGAGAGAACCGAAGATATCCAGACAGTGAGAGATGGGAAAGCCAGTACACACACATCCATACAGTGCATAGTGAGAAAGCCAGTGAACATATTCCTACAGTGAACAGTGAGAAAGCCAGTAGTCCAACAGCAATGAGCGAGGAAGCCAGTAACGTGAAGTGTGAGTAAGCCAGTAAAGAATTACATATGTGAAAAAACACAAAATACGAGGGGAAGCATTCTATCCTGATTACAAAGTGAATTGTCTCAGCATTAATGCTGAAGTGTAAAAAAGGCCTCAATAGCACGCTATCAATTAGATTTGTTAAACGTCAAAAGGTAATTTCTGAAGTTGGATGAAATGCCGTGTTGCCTTTAGTCACAGACACGTTTTTATTTAGGCAACGTTTCTCTTCATGTAGAATTTTGCGCCTAGTGAAACGTTGTGTCAGTAAAACAGCAACTTGGGCCTCTTATTTTAATAATAATATTATTATTATTATTCCTAGGTAGTAGGTTGGTAGACAGCAACCGCCCAGGGAGGTACTACCGTCCTGCCAAGTGAGTGTAAAACGAAAGTCTGTAAATGTTTTACATGATGGTAGGATTGCTGGTGTCCTTTTTTCTGTCTCATGAACATGCAAGATTTCAGGTACGTCTTGATATTTCTACTTACACTTAGGTCACACTACACATACATGTACAAACATATATATATATACACACCACTCTGGGTTTTCTTCTATTTTCTTTCTAGTTCTTATTCTTGTTTATTTCCTCTTATCTCCATGGGGAAGTGGAACAGAATTCTTCCTCCGTAAGCCATGCGTGTTGTAAGAGGCGACTAAAATGCCGGGAGCGAGGGGCT